TGGTGCCCTCCATTGGTCTGATTCTAATATACATCATATACCCCCCCCAAACACTGTCACACATTTAGTATCATTACTGATTGTCCTGCAGTGTGTGTGTGTCTCTTTTTACCTGTCTCTTCTTTCACTCTTCTCCTCTTTCCTCTCTGTCATAGCCAAAACAGATCCGGCGGCTTTGTGATTGACAAGCAGTCGGTTTCACTGTGATTCGTGACGAACTCAAAATGGTGACAGTTACCTCATCTCCAAAATCAAACGAGTCTGACATTTACATTTAACTCCCAAAAAGCAATTTCAAGCCTTTTCCATTTAGTTTTAGTAAATGTCACTCACCGTTCGTTTGATCGAATTGTTAAGTTATTCTGAGAAACAGAAACTTCAACAGTCGACAGTAAGAATGTCAGGCCTAGATACATCTTGTTACACAGTGATTATGTTTATGTTTTTGTGGTTTTATGAGTTAGAAATTCATAGAAAGAATCGTGTCACATAACATCAACTGATTTTGAGACTATTGCACCGGCAGTGACCACAACAGTATACTGGTTTGTATTCAACGCTCTGACGTGACACAAGATCTGCTGAGCTGACACATGAGTCTTATTTTTATCTTACCGTCATGGGTTTGTGTCATACAGTGTACAAAAACAGAAACGCCTAAATGCTTGCCCACTGTTAAAGCTCTCAGATATTATCTTCTCAGCATGAGCTTCATGAAGGCGCTCTTGTGTCACCCGCTGCCTGCTCTTCGCTGGGTTATATTAATCAATAATAAGCCTTTGTAATGTGTCGGGGGTGGTGGTGAAAGGCTACAATTTAGGATGTGAAATGCATGATTTCCATGACTCACTGGGTCTATATGTCAGTGTCAAAAGTCTTGTTTTCCCATTCTTGTTGAATCATCGACATTTACAAGTATTTTTCTTTCCAAAGACAAAGTCAAGGGCTGCAGCTGAGGGTTATTTTGGTATTTGAATAATCTGGGAGCAAATTTTTCAACTGATTCATCAATCCAACACTTATTTTCTTATATATACATTACTCTAGCTGCCTGTTGTAAATGGTAACAGCAGCTTAGAATCCATTTATGTAAATGCTTGTACATTGCAGATCCTCTATGTGCAGGTAAGAGTGCAGGGGTTTCCTCAAAGTAATCTACAGCTTGTCAAAATATACCTAGATGTCTGAGTGTAACTGCCAATGATGAATTGATATTAGAGTACAGTAGTGTTTTAACCCATGTGTCTTGGAAATTAGAACTTTTGGAAATTGACCATCAATGCGGGGGCCTACACTATTGGTCAGTTGCGTGTTGAGGTGTCCTTATTGGCTGCCAATAATAAATCCATAACCTGTCCATACCTCGCCAATGTGTCACAGCACAGTAGTGCATCACAGTACAATAAATGTGGACAGATGGCACTACAATACCTGATATTCACCATGGGGGAATGAAACTAGAAATCAACATGAAACCTACTGCAGTGAGAAATGGAGATGATGGTTACAGACTGTCCAGCATAGGGCTGAGTAGGAGAGAAAAAATGTGAAAATTTATTGAACACCATAGTCTGATGACTCATCAGCGTAACATGATCTTGAGGAGCCAGATTTATCAACACATCTCAGCTCTATAGTTGTGTTTTGTCACCACTATGTCGCCACCATTTCCAAGTAGCAAAAATACTTGGCAGCTACAAGCTGACATAGATCCAGACTTGCCTTTAAAATGTTGGTGTGATGCTTCTGTGAAAATCTTCTTCTCAGAATTTAAACATTGTTATCTGCGTATATTAGAAATGTTCTCAGGCTTGTTGTAAAAGTGGTTGGACAGAAACTGTTTTTCATGGGTTCAGTTATTTTGTTAACTAATGCCAAAAGGAACACTTATTTAATATAGTGCTCAGGACTACAAGTAGCAGTCTTCTATTCATCTATACAGTCACATTTTTTATGTCTTGATAAAAAATAGGATCATAGGGACACAATGTGATGTTTTCAAATAACACATTGCTCCTGACTAACAATCCAAACTACTTTATTTCCGATATAAAGCAGAAAGGCAGCAAATTGTCAGATATGAGCAACTGAAACCAGCAAATGGTTGGTAGTTTTACTTAACAAATGACTGAAACTGTTTATAATCAGTATCATCACTGATTAATTTTGTGTGTTCACTAAACAGGTACAGTAATTAAAATGTATTAATTAAATAGTCTATTCAGTTCTCACAGTGTTACCAGCCAAAGTGTTGAATAAAGGTCAAATGTGGACAACTAATTTGATTTTTTTCTCCACTAGCTACTGCAGCCCTATAGTTGCCTGATTACTCGTTGGATATACTGTATATAAAACGATTTAAAGACTCAAATGTGTTTATGCAGTACAATTATGACACCCCAGTGTAAATGTAATAAACGTAATTGTCACTGAGGGTTGCATAGTTTTCATTGTGCTCACCAACTGTGATAATGTTTTTACTAAAACGGCACGAGTTACAAAATGGCACTTTTTGCAACTCATTTGACAAAGTGATTATACCCCCTCCTCCCCCATGAAACACCAACAAATTGCACAACCTCATGTCCCTGAACCACATTGTTTGTGTCACTAATAGACAGCTACTGTTTACGAGTGGACTTTCATGTCAGTTTTGTCAAACCCCCCTTCTTTGACACACAAATGGGGCCCTGGGTGACTAATGGTGCGTTGGATTAGCCAGCAATGGCCCACGGTAGTTAGGGAGGTTTAACCCAATGATCCCTGCTTAAACATGAGCTCTAAATCCACACAGCTGACATAAAGCCATTCACTGGGACATTGCTGCTGCACCTACTCACTGCTTCTTCGAGATTAATATAGTCCTTCACTCATTATACACAGTTTTTACTCAATTTTCAGAGTGGCAATGTCTAGATGTACTGGGTTTATGTCTTGCGACTGTTTGTGAATAATGTATATGGTTTGGTTTGGATAAGTGGCAGTGTCAAACACTCCAGTAAGAGAGCAAAACCCAGATAATCGGTCAACATACCTGAGAAGTGGATGGGATAAATATTTGCCTGCAGTGTTTTGTAAGAGAGGAAGTAACATGTAATCATTAGCTTTGCTTTTGCAGTACAGTAAACTGTAAATGTACTTCCCTCTCAAACCAGGACAGGACATACAGTGTGTTTTCACTAATCCATCAAGAAACAAATGGGTGGTCCCTTTCTATTTTAATTTAGTGAAGGAAGTACACAAATACGCCACCAGAATCATGATTCAATATATTGTTATGAACCATCTGTCAATACAGAATCAAGAAGAATAAAAGCATAAATATGATGGCCTATAATTGTCAGTGGTTACAATTAGCCGTAGGGTCTGCTGCAAGTTGTCTTTTTCATACAGCTCACATTTGAAATATAGTGTTAGTCAAACTGCTACTGTTCAACATATAGTTGGTTATGCTAAAGTGTTATCGTGGAGCACTCATTTATTTATTGATGTAATTTTAATCTATGTCAAGTGTTGTTGAAAATATCAGACAGGTGAGACGTTTTCTTGGTAAATGACGATATCATGGATGCCTGAACATTATAATAGTTGAAGCTGTTGAAAAGAAAAATATTAAGCATAATATAAACTGGTACTACTATATTAGTTTCTTGCTTAAAAAAATAATGAGACTCGATGGATAGACCTCACATCGAATATGGTCCTGACAATTCATCACAGAAGACTGAGTGTGCAACCACTGCCTGAGGATACGTGTCCAGTACCATGTCCATGCCCTTATATGACCACCACTCACCTAATGTAGATAACCATTAGAAGACTGCCTGCTCTATCAAACCTGAATTACGACTAACTGGCAGCCCTGCCCGAGTCACAAACTGCAACCTTACACCGCCAACAAACACTTAATGAGCAAAGCACAGATCACAGAGGCTGAAACACTGCTAAACCTGTCCTTAAACCAGCCACAGACACAAAGCTACAAAGTAAATCGCCTAAATGAACTAAAACTGGCCATTTTTCCTTCTCAGTTTCTGGGCAAAAGCATCTACTCTGATGATAAAATCCAGAATTGTGATGGGATCTCATTCAACTGCCATAACACAAGGCGCTGACAAGACATCTCTTAGTCATCTTAGTAGTTAGTTTGTTTTTTATAAGCTCCATGTGAAGAAACTTGCAGCCTTTAAAAGTCTCAGGGCTAGCTAATTAGGGTGCACTAATTGAACCGAACTTGCAAAGGCCAGATACGTCCGTCTTTGGAGTTTTCATTGCAGGATTTTCTGTTTATTCAGCAAAAATCCTACAGCTGTTCAGTGTCTCTTCTTGCACGTGGATATGAGATGTATAAAAAGGGCCAGAGTTCCTCTACTGTTGGCCCAATATGAATGTGAGCAACCTCAAATTGAAGCAGGCAGAAGTCGGCACTTTAACCTGGCCTTGCTTTCATTTAGAATTCAATGGCCTGGAGTTATGAGACAAACAAAAGGTGTCACTGTCCAGATACTTGTGGCCGCACTGATTCTCTACAGTATTTGATGTTGTAATGACTGTTGTCAGAGAGCTTTGGACTTCACAAATTGAACATTACACATTTCATCTGTCATGACCGCTGCATTTAAAATATGTCAAAACACTCCTACAGCTCTGTACATATATAGCACTGCAGGCACTCATAGTTAGCTAGACTGCACAACTGCCATTTCTAAATGTAATGGACTCTGTAGTAAGTAAAAGTAAGTTTACCACAGGCATTTGTGACATTTTGAAGTGAAGATTGGGTCTGACAGTTACGTACAAGATTTGTAAAATAACACAAATGACATAGTGTTTTGAACTCATGAGACCTATTGTGTTTGGGGCCTGTTATGTTTCCATAGCAAAGGAAGCTGGTGGGTGATGTGACACAGATTGTCAGACATTCTTCTAACATAGACACATTAATCATTTTGGTGTTTAACAGGCCACTCTTTTGTCCCCTGTTTTTCACTGTATTTTAGGTGGTTCCACCCCAACATCACCGGAATCGAGGCAGAGCAGCTCCTGTTGACCCGGGGAGTCCACGGCAGTTTCCTGGCCCGGCCCAGCAAGAGCAATCCGGGGGATTTTACCCTCTCTGTTAGGTAAGTTCTCACCTGCAACTTGTTATTGTCGTCCACCATCAGCCTCACTATTTAACCTCATTATTTGCAGATGTCGAGAATGGAAAATAATCATTGTAGCCTTTACATTTTATGCACTTTGTCCTACGGTATAGGCCACCGAGATGACCAAAAATAACACACAAACAGAGTTGCTAATTACCCTTAAAATAATTCTGAGACAAAAAAAAGTTTATTTCCCCCTCAAAAATGTCCATGTCTTCATACACTACTCTCCGATTTGCACACTTCCTGCAACAATTTCTTCTTCTGCGTTTACCTGCAACAAGTGAAATCCCACGGGACTTCAGCATAATGCAGAAGAAGAAGAGATTGTTGATCGGAGGTGTTCACAAGTGAAGAAGCTTGGGGTAAGAATAACGTGTGTTGTTGATCTACTTTGGAGAAGAAATGGTTCGCGTTTGTGCCTTTCCAAATTGTGGCAACAGAATGAGAAGGTACAAGTGCCTATACTTTCATCGTCTACCTTTCCATGACCATGAGATACTGCAGTTGTGGCTAGTTGTTCTTCAGCTTGATGTGCAAACTCTCATACAAGTACTATGCAATCACAGAGATAAGGCCTTCGTGACGAAAAAAAGTTAATTTCCCCTCAAAAATGTATTGCCGCACATCCCTTCCCAAGCTGTGTCTGCCAAAACGAAGCTAAATGAAGTTATGAATATAACGTTACCTCCACAGTGGTTGCAGCAGTCTTCATCCTTGGAATGGCATTTCTCTTCAGCCAGCCCCGCTGTGTTGTGTCTCTGTAGTCATCCTCCTCAAAATGTTGGCTGCAAATGTGGTGATCATTTTCGCATAGTACTTGTATGGGAGTTTGCACATCAAGCTGAAGAACAACTAGCCACAACTGCAGTATCTCATGGTCATGGAATAGTAGACGATGAAGGTGTAGGCACTTGTACCTTCTCATTCTGTTGCCACAATTTGGAAAGGCACAAACACGAACCATTTCTTCTCCACAGAAGATCAACAACACACGTTATTCTTACTCCAAGCGTCTTCACTTGTGAACACCTCCGATCAACAAGCGAGCGGTGGAAAAACAGGTAGGCGACAGTACTGTTTTGTACGGTTTCTGCACAACGTATGAGTTGAAAAGGCATGTTGTTGTCACGTAGGGGCCCTGATCATGTTGTACAGACATTTTAATTGCATTTTGTATCTGTTAAGAGGAGCAAAAGGCACTCTTTAGGATATGCCCCCAAGAAGTGTATTATAACTAACTGGGAGCTCTGGCCATTAGCTGCAGGATCTCCAGTTTGCTAGAACCAAATCTGGTCGTTCTTTTTCCTATCGACAGTACTTGGTGACCTCTAGTGATCAAGATTAGGGTAAAAATCTGCCAAAGTTCTCCTTTAAGTTGGAAGTTCACCAATCAGGAGTCTCTGACATTCCTACCCACAGCTCAGCAAGTGATGTAACATTTTGTCTGCGGGTGAATAGATGGCATTTGAACAGAAGCAGTTTTGTGTGAGTGTTTCTAGGAGCATGTTAGATTAACAGATTTGGATTTGGTAACATTCTGACACAAATTGGCCAGAAAATCCTTCTTTAGGCAGCAGGATGAAGTCGAGGTGAGTTGGACAAACACAGCTGAGTGTAACACCCTGTGATAACTTGTCATTCATGCCCTAAAACATATTTCTCTTAATCTCTTTAATTGAGAACCCCAGTGCGTTGCAGAGAATGTGAAATTTCTGGTACGTAGGACTCAGCAATACATGCTGTGGTGATTACAGAGAGCAGGAAACAAACTGAGATAGAAGAAGAGAGAGTGTGGCTCTTCCTTGGCAACGGAAGCTTTTAAGAGATACATCAGTCGGCCAAGCGCCTGGAAGAAAGCCCAAACGCATTTGTTACTCTGTGACTGTAGCTGGCATGGCAGCATGGGTAGAGAGGCTGTTAGTGTTTGTGTGTGTGTGTGTGTGTGTGTGTGTGTGTGTGTGTGTGTGTGTGTGTGTGTGTGTGTATGTGTGTGTGTGTGTGAGAGAGTGAGAGAGAAAGAGAGAGATACTGTAAAGAAAGAAACAGAGACAGAAAGGAAACAGTGTAGTTAGACATGCAGTAGCTTTTAAATATGGTTAAGGAGTGAGGGACCTGTCAAGGCTTTGACCTTCACTGCCTGTGGTTTGTGTGCATTCTCGTGTGTGGTGCAATGTGTCATAAATCACACACACCACAGGAAGGTTGGTAGGGTGAGTTGTGGCCACGATTTGTGTTCTTGACAGACTTAAACACACATACACACACACTGAGGTCAAGTGGCCAGTGTACAGAACCTCACCACCTGCTAGAGAAGGTAGGTCACATTGAACCTAGAGGAAGGAGGAGGGAAGCAGAGTTCATATTAAAGAGAGACTTTGTAACTTTTGAAAGAAGAAACACACTCTTTCTCTTAAAAATGAAAAGTTGAATTCATAAGCAATAAAAATTTACCAATGCTTAATCCAGTACACTCGGGGGTTTGGCAGATCCAGCCTTATTTGGTCTGGTATGTCCAGTAGCTTATGGTTGCTAAAGTAAGCAAACTTTAGTTAGATATTGTTGGTTAAATGACATTACTGTGACATTACTGTGTCACCTCTGATTGAATAAAACTGAGATATGCACAGCCTAATAAGTGTGTAGCATAACATTTACAGGGGACTTTTTAAAGCCACTGTTGTAGCTGTACTGTGTAAAAAGTATAAAGTACTGGAGAAAAACATCAGGAAATCTTGGTGAAGAACTGGTTCAAATGAATTATTTTCTAGAAATGTGTCCCTAAAAAAACATTCACAAAAAACATTGTTATATTATTATTATATATTAGACCCTGCCTTATTTTAGTGATTACTTTATGCCTTACTAGTCTGCATATTTCAGCATAAGAAGTTGCCCTACATACACCAATGTCCCTTGTAACTTGTAACCTCAAAACTTTCAAAGTGACAGAGAGGGCAACATGGTGTAGCAGTGTCCTGCCACAATATCCTGTTTCTCAGGAAACTGAGTCAACTAGTGTGGCAAAACTCAACACTTGTACCTATTTGTGACTTTATTGTACAAACAGACACAATTTCCATCGACACCTTCCTAAATAGAAATTGTAAAAAAAGGCATTCAAGTGTAAAAATACAGATTGTATAATATTTTGAATCTAATGTTCACAGCCGTTTTCTTCCTGATTGAACTGCAACATAATGTCTGCAAAAAAGTAGAAATATTAGAATATACTGAAGATAATTACCTAATTATCCTATATCTACAGAAGAATCATGCTACCTAACTCAATCCCAGTTCACACACACACACACACACACACACACACACACACACACACACACACACACACAGACACAGACAGACAGACAGACAGACAGACAGTGTCTTATCAGAGCAGAGGAGAGGCTAATTAGCCAGTCATTAGCCAGGTTTCATCTTACCAAGGCCATTATGGGCAGTATAATCACTGTTCAGATTGTAATGGACGCTAAGGGAGTCTGTTGCCCCCCTCTCTCTTTGTCTTATCTTATCTTCCCCTCTCTGCCCCCACTTCTTATCCCCACCACTTCTCTTCTCCTCCGCTCCACGAGGTGAACAGAAGAAGGAGTGGTCGGACAGAGCTGCTGCTCAAAAGCGTCTGAAGGCTGAAGTCTGTTGGCGCTAATGAGGGCTTTTTGAGGGTTTTGAAAATGTAATCAATTCAGAGTTTCATGAAACTCAAAGAGCGAGAAAGAGAAAGTTTGAAGCAGAAAAAGTTTTGCCATAATTTATATCCAAGTCCAACTCTACAAGGAGAGCAGTCTGGTCAAGTTTTCTCATTTTTCATGCTCTTTATACACTCTAAAGACCCCGAGGAGGAATTTTAAGGGCAATCTTAAGAGAGAATTTTGCAGGGCAAATTACCACAGAGAGCAAATGGATTTTCTTCCAGCGTCTGTATTATATAATGCTAGCCTGGGTTTACTTAGATGTGTTTCCATTGCAGCCAGGCTATTTATAGTTTCATATAGCTAAGTAAAAAAACATTTTTTATTGTGGATGTCAAGTCAATCTGTGAGTGTGTTTATCTGCATACTAGTATCCTGCCTTTGAGTTTTGTCCTGTTTTTGATCAAATTCTGGCATTTACATGGAACATGAGAAAGCATATTTATTCAGATTGCATATTCCTATATAGGCTACCATGATTATAACAATATTGACTGTCAGGGTACTGCGGCATGTAAACACCATATCCTGGTTTCTGAACATTCTTTGTTGGTACAGAACAGAGTGGCTGAGATGGTGAGAAATCAAGACACACCTACAGACAGAAGAGCATAAATCTGGATACTGTTATGAACATGTACACGGACATATGAATATCCAGGTTTTTCATTTACGTCTTATCCTGATTATGCGCAAAAACAGGATAAGAATAAAAAACAGGATAGACAGAAAGACAACAATCAGGGCTAAATAGTGTGCAAATGTTTGTGTCTGTTTTTCTTCTTTCCTGACACTTGCAAACAGACCTATTGCATCTACCTTTATACAGTGCTCAATACCTGGACAATGGCTACTACTTCTTTTGGGAAGAACTGAAACAAACTACAAGTATCCATATGAGCTTTACTTGTGTTTTTGGTTGTCTTTACTTTCTCACTCTACTCCCTCTTGAATTATTGACAGTGATTGTTACTGAACCGTTAACTTTAATGAAGTTTGTTAGTAGTAGTAGTAGTAGTAGTAGTAGTAGGAACACACAAAAATGTCACTTAAGTGTTTGTATATAGGCAACACTGGCTGTGTGATATCCGCCATCCATTGTAGAAGTTGTTATTAGGCTTTAGTCATTGTCTTTGAGCTTGTGAAAAAACAAGATAACTAAAATATATCCTGGTTGTCAGAATTGGCAGACACCTTTTGTCTCAAATTGCCTAATCTTCAAAAGTGAGCCCACTGCCGTTGAGGATATAGACTATATTGTTATATTACCAGATTATGCACGGGATGTGTGCCTTGGTTTTCCATACCCTAGCAGGGCAAGCTCTTGAGATACAGAACACTCTGACCTGACATAACATCTAACATTTTATGTCAGATCTGAACATGCCTCCTTTATGTTAGAACCCAGTGTAGTAGTCTGTAGAGATGGCAAAGGGTGAATTTAAATAGAGGCCAAAACTTTAGAACTCTTCATTTGATAAGTGGACTGGTTACACTAAAAGGGATTTCTCAGTGGTGTCTGGATGTATTGAGTGGAAAATATTGCTTGGAATAGCTTCAGGGCAAAGCAAGCAATAATTTATATGATCTGGGCTTTGTGCTTGCATTTTTGAGCAATATATTTCCCAGTTGTCTGTTTTTGTGTATGGGTTTGTTTAGTCATACAGATCTAAATACTCTTGATTACTAAAACTCGTGATTTTGCAGCCTTCAGTGTCATGGCAATAATGTTGGGAAAGATTTTAACACATAATCCCGCTTTCAAAGATGTGATCAGTTTGCAGCTGTTAAGCTGTGATGTGTTCACATAGAAAGGCAGTGTGAAGGACTATGTGACATTATGTACATTTGTGCTCAGTTAGTCCTATCAATGCAAACCAGTTCACAGGATAATCAAGGATGAACTTATCTTCTATCTATCTTTAAAGCAGGATACCATCACATTATCAAATTAAATACCTACAGTAGTAAAGACTGACTTTAATTCCACTGACTCTGGTTTTCTTCTTGTTTTGCTGAAAGTTGGAATCATTTACAGTTTGATTTGTGTACTTAAAGACATTCAAGTTTTCCATATTTTTCATTTAGACAAACAAAATTGCATATCCTTGGAACAAAGCAGAATAGCTGAGATTTATTTTGCTTGTTGTTATCAGTAAATCCAACTATTTCTGAGCATAATATGATAAAGCAATGTTATTCCAGAGATGTGCTATTTTCAGCTAGACACTCTTCTCTAGCTTAAATAAACGTACAGGATGTTGGTGAGAAACACATACACGGATTCAAAAATACAGAACTTCAGTCAGTAAGGAAGAACAACTTCTACTTCTCATAGATGTGTATTATAGGTTCATGCTACATCCTCAACATCCTCAACTGTGAAAGGTCTGAGGACCCACACATTATAAAGTAATAAAGCAAGAACAAGTGATAGACAGTGTGCTCGATTCTTTGTTTTTATCACAGTCAAAAGTTTTTGATCTTACGCAACTGCCAGTAAGACTTTGTGTTAGGAATGCAAGATATAGTTTTTGTTTAGCCGATAGGATAATTACCTGCTTTTGATGGCCCATACCGTTAGGATTACTGATCATTGCACATTTTTTTAAAATAAGTTCAGAACTTATAATTTGTACACACTTGAGGGTAAGAAAGGCTAAATTGTAGTGAGAAAATATGACTGAAGGATTTAATAATCTATATTGACAGACAGCCTATAATTTCATTATTGGAATAATTCATAATGATATAACTCTCCCATTATTGAATGCTTATTTATTGGCCCTGATATGTATCATCCATCCCTACTTTCTGTTGTGCAAGAACTGTCATCATTGTTTTGCTTGTTCCTACAAGAATTAAATTACTGCCCATCTTTGAAGGTTAAATTTTGTGTCATGAATGAGATTAAATGGCATCTAAATGTAGGGGAGAATTGTCTCATTTTAATTAAATGTGTGATAATGACTAAAGGAGTAAGCCTGATTCGGCTAATGAGAATACTAACATAGGAGGAATCAGTCAAATGGTGCTAAGTGCCTTAACAGAACCATGCTTAAATCAGACCAAAAGCCGAAAAACACACTTTGTGGTGTTGTAAACACTTTATGAATGCATGGATTGATGCGCAATATTAGGATATAAGCAAACATTTTAATAACTACACTAGACTCTGCATCCTAGTTTACTCTTTGTGATTCGCCATGGTGCGGAGAAATGCCATCGTGGTGTCAAGGGCTCTTTGTGTAGAGCAGCTGCTACCTTAATGAATTAGTTTTGTGTAGACAGAGAGGGGATTTTTCTCTAACATTGCAGTTGTTTTGTGGGTTGGTGATTTCATTTAGGTTGACTACCACACTGAACTTTATTTTGCTTCACTGTGATTCTTTCAATACACACGGACTGTGGCTATCACTTAGGTACTTCAGCTTCTACTCACAATATCACCATCATTGTTATGCCACACACTTGGGCTCTACAAAGTAGTGAATATTTATGATATGATCAAATAGGGATATAGGTGTTCTTGTAAATATATCAGTGATAATTTTAATGTTTTAAATACGTTAATTGGGTCACTGCATTAAGCCATTTTATCAAGGCTAAAAAAAGATAAGATTTATTTTTTAAGCGACTTTGCTTTGTGCTACTACTTCCCTGTATCCAGCTGGAAATTACTCATAGACTACTATGCAAACATGCGCCATGGACCTGAATGGGATTCTTGTTCATTATAGAAAAGAGAGGTAATTTTGGACAGTATGGAACCAGTAGTGATCCACAAGGCTTTGTGTGGATAGTATGTTTTTCTGAATTATAATTAATTGCATAATATAAATGAACCGTACTGAATCTGTCACATTATCTAAAATTAAAGTCGTACCTTCTGATGGTTTGTTAGGTTGTACCTTATCAAGGTGCAATGCTGGCTGTTTATACTGTAATTGGTAAGTTGGTTCATAGGATAACTTCACCAAATACTTGTGGTACCTAATAATGTATGCTGTTAATCAAAAGAGCATTGGCACAGTTATCACTAAAAGAGCAATAAATGGTGTTGTGATGTAGAATGCCACTAATCATGTTGACATTTTTATTCTCACAAAAACATGGCACAAAACAAGACAGAAAATGTCAAATAATCTGTCATGAAATGAAATAAACATTAGTGAGCCAGAGCTTAGCAGATATGATGCTGACCTTGGCTCCCTGTATTATTTCTATAAAGCCATATTTTCATAGATGCCTAAATGTTATCAATGTCTCAGAGAGGGAAGAGTAGGGAAGTGAATGAAAATCTAATGGGACGTGTTTGGCTCATTCCAGAGTTAATGGTGTTAAACTCTGAGAGAAAAGGGGGCTTTGGCCCAAGAGTTGAGGAGGGGCCTTTAACAGAGCCATAGACCTGTGGCAACCTGCCAACAGCCGCTAATAGAGCCATAAAGCAATTACCAGGAAATACTGGGATAGAAGGATGGAGGGAGAGATCGGACAGATGAATGTGAGAACGAAGGAAAGGATTTACAGTATGTTGAGTGGATGGAAAAAAGGAATGTGAAATTCATGAGGACAGCAAGAAAAGTGATGGAGGAAATAGGATTTGTGCCATTTGATATGACCATTAGCTCATAATCAGTTTGCAGAGAGAGACTATTGTATCTCAACCTCGGATCAGAGAGTACTGACTGCCTGGCCTCTGTGGTCCCTAAAACACTGCTGTATGTGTGTGTTTGTGTGTCATCATTGTTACTATGTTTACAGGATGTTTTGTTTATTTCTGCCAAAGAAACATGTCGACCGAAGTCACTGGAGATGGAAAATGGAAAAACAAGTACATTTAGCAGTCGAGCTGTTGAGCCGCATCTTGTTCTTCACTTGCTTCCAGGCAGATATCTTTTATAGAGTAGAACTGTGTGTGTGTGTGTGTGTGTGTGTGTGTGTGTGTGTGTGTGTGTGTGTGTGTGTGTGTGTGTGTGTGTGTGTGTGTGTGTGTGTGTGTGTGTGTGTTTCTCAGTGTGCACCTATTCAAACCAGTCAGAGGACTTTGAATATGCAAAGTGGTACCAAATGTTTTCTGGCTTATCAGTCTTTGAGCTCAGCAGCTGCATGCATTTCTGTTGTATTCTTCTGCAATCACGATACAGCATTCCTCTAAATACATTAGATATGAAAACTACAGAGTATTAAAACAAGGGATGATCCCTTGTGAGAAGATTTGTATTTTTCTGTTTATAGAAGTCAAAGTGAAAAATATTCTATGCTTGATAAAAATGGATCAGTATTTTTTTTTTTTTAAATCAGTGTGGCTTCGTAGCTTTTTCTTGTATTTTCTTTCTTGTCATAGCTTGTGGCTTATTTTATCATTCCAGTGTTGGTACAGATGGAAAAGGCCAAAGTTATTTTATTATATGTAACAGTAATACCTATTATACTTTATTCTATATAATAAAGTGTTCAGCTTTGCAAGAAGAAGAAGAAGCTTCAATATTGCAGAGATATGAATGTATCACAGACAGAATAAGGTACATAGTGCAAGAAAACAACACTGAACAGAAGAGACTGGCAAATTCTTGAACGTGTTTTCAAGAGAATGAGGTTCAGTGTCATAAAATGGGAGCAGATGGCTTGATAAGCTGGACATTTTTGTAGTGTACATTTATGCTCTGTGAGACAGTGTGGGCGACAAAGTGTGCATGGTTTTGATTTTGTTTGTGTGAGCACATACTGTATGAACATACAGTATGTGTAGGTGGCTGTTGGTGTGTGTGTGCGTGTGTACATGTGCATGTGTATGTGTGTGTGTTTGCTGTTTAAATATCTGCAGGACACAAGTGTCAAGAGAAAAATACAAAGAGAAAAATGCTGAGTGCTTCTTTTGAGTGAGTCCACCTCTGTTAACATGCATGATAACTATCTCAGTGATTGAATTCCCACTGTGTTTTTTCCCGCTCAGGCGGAACGATGAGGTGACCCACATTAAGATCCAGAACTCGGGCGACTACTACGACCTGTACGGAGGCGAGAAGTTTGCCACACTGGCCGAGCTGGTGCAGTATTACACCGAGCAACAGGACCTCCTGCGTGAGAGGAACGGCCATGTCATCGAGCTCAAGTACCCACTCAACTGCAAGGACCCCACCTCTGAGAGGTGCCGACAAACTCGCACACTAACGCCCACACATGCAAATAAGCTCACATTTGCATACAGCCAAGCACTATGTGGATGAATCCCGGCAGATAGACACAAATATACATAGAAACTTATCTAAGGCTGACTCTATATGTTGCTCTTTTACGTAAACTCATTACAGTTTCTCCCTGACTGCAGTTATTTTTATTCTAACACCTTCAGGGGTGTCAAGCAGTAAATGCTCATCCTGCCATCAGGAGCTAAACCACCTGAGAAATTTTATTAGTCAAGCTTTCAGTGCAGTCACAGTATCCTGTTATGGCCTAAATGCTGTTTGTGACGCATTGTCACTATACAGAGAACTAAACTCTGGGTGAAATACTAAATCCTTGTCCATTTCTTGTATTTGATATGTTACATGAAAATTATTAATTATTATTATGATTATACATTGATTGAGTTATGTGTCATCGCGATGCATTTCTAGTTTGTTGAACCTCAGTGTAGAATTGCAATAAAAGTCTGTAGAGGAAAGCCAGTAATGCCAGAACAATATATGTACAGTTGAAAAAATAAATAAAAACACAAACTTATTCTATCATCTTAAGACAAGTTGAATAAATTATATTGTTATAATATTATATATTAATATAGAAGCAAGTGAGAGCAGATCTTCATGTCTTGAATGGAACTTCACCATATGGCTTGGCGTTTTTTGCTACAATTAACATCATAATATGAATATTTTTTCTCATCTTGATGAACTATCCACTGTAATAGATTACATTGGGAAAATTAAAAAACACCTGAAAAGCGAAAGGTGAGCTCTGTTCACCCCAACTGGTCGAGGCAGACGACCACCCACCTAGAGCTGAAGGATCTGTCCTAGGTTTCTGCCTCTGTTTTTCCTTGCCCCGTCGCCAAGTGCTTGCTCATGGTGGTACTGTTGGGTCTCTGTAAATAATGTTATAAAGAGTTTGGTCTAGACCTGCTCTATTTGAAAAGTGTCCTGAGATAACTTCTGTTATGAATTGGCGCTATACAAATAAAATTGAATTGAATTGTTTGGGTCTCTCCGCTAGCTTTAGAAAAGTATCTGGTTCTTTAGCTGCTTAATGCTCACCCATGTTAGTCTGCCTACCGCGGCTAGAAAGGAGGTTGATAAGAGCGCTAAGAATGAACCACAATAGGAAAGTTGTGGGTCAGAAAGCTAAATCAATTTGGGGAACTGCAAACAAGCAACAATTTTCACACACATAGTCATTTGATTCATTGTTAATATAAAACTATTGAGTGGGACAGCTTTAAACAACTTATTTTAAAAAAAAAATACAGTTTGTTTAGAATGATCAATTTAAACAACGGAATTTGTAAAATGTTAATACAGTATGATCACCACTGTGCAATTCCATTGAGAGACAGTAATATTGAATTATTGTCCAGGCCTACATCACCGACAAGTTTACAGTTAATAGAACAGCAACAGGAAAGAATCAGCTATTAGTTAATTAACTATGTACTGATACACGTATGTGTTTACACCTACTGTTTGTAGGGAGGATGCGTTATTCTCTACACACTCCCCCCCACACATTAAATCCAGATGCACTTCACATCCACATGCATAAATAGTGGCATATTCCCAAATGCATCTTCAAACAAACTAAGTGGGTGGTGCTGCTGTTTTTGTTTATGCGCACCAAGTATCCACTCCCTAACATCCTTCCAGAGAATATACAACAGGTTGGACGCAGCTATGCACTTCATTACACCTACACACCTTCATTGAAATGAAAGACTTAGGCGGCTGGCGTGTTAATGCCAGGAATCCATGCATGCACTCACACGCACACAGGAAGCATTTTAGAAAGCTACATGATCTTTTTTTATATCATCATCTGCAAATCATCACTTTTTGGCTGTTTTTGGTATCGTCTCGTGCTGAGCAGGTTATGTACATTTTCTTTTTCTACACATCTGCACATTGCAATGTGTATATCTTAGTTTCTATTCAGGTCTAAGAACAAGTTGCGACTTATGGTTTTGGTTTATGTGGTTTTCCATTCTACATACGTCTCTTGTCAGAGCCTCCTACATGTTTGTGCTCACCACACAGGAAAAAAAAGCTGTTTTTTTTCATCTTAACATCAGCAACTGACTGAGGCTGCAGCAATGTGAATACAGTGAAGACACTTTCATTCTCGAGTAGGAGTCTATGTTCACAATGTACATATAGAAAGACATTATGTTGAACCCTAAAGCTGCAATACAGATTTTCTTGAGGGAGGAAGCATATTACTAGTCCTCCCCCTCACGTTTTTCAAGTTATATTCTCAACTCTTGTTACTTGTCTTGATAATCTTTATACCTTGAAACAGCATCGAGCCTGAGGCTGAGCTTCTCAATCCCCATAGGAGTTGCAGAAGCAGACGATGAATGTCTAAAATAATGAATGCTGATCTTCACTGTGTTTTTGGATGTGAATGTTTTTATCTGGTGACACAGCCAACTAATATGACATGATACCCACAGTAAATGGTTTTGACCCTAAATGTCCTAAACACCACTTCAACTGACTATAATCGATATTTTAACAACAACAATGTATCAAATGACAATGTGAAAACAATGCTGGAATGTGAATCACCTGAATCTGCATCCCTGCAAGCTGTATGGAGCTTTATAGTGATTTTCAGCTCATTGTTTATCTGTCTGGCCCACAACTTACATTGTTTTTGTTCAGTCCCGCTGCTCTCATAGCGTTGTTTTTGGTTGCAGCAGGCAGTTGTTTCCAGTAAAAATGCTTAGATAAACCCACTGTACACTACCTGCTCAGCACCAAACTGCAGACAGAGACAGTTAGTGAGTCACTGGGGAACATAGTGGAGCACTCAGCAGCTAAAGAGCCAGATATCTCCCTCAGGAGTTGGCAGAGACCAAAAACTCAGCTAAAAGAGAGTGAATATCAGACTTACGTTCATCAGGTGACCAAAAACATGACTCTGAGTGAATATGTTGTTGCATATGTGTAAATAGGCAACTATTTGCTTACAAGTTCGCAATATCAACTTAACATGTGACGATATGTCAATGATGTGTTTAGAAGTTTGCTTTGCTGCCCCCAAGTAGCCAAAAAAATCAGCCATGTTGAACCGCCATCTTTCTACAGTAGCCCAGAATGGACAAACCAAACCATTTTGCAGGTTTCGTGGCCATCATAGTCTCTCCTTTGAAGGCGAGCAGTTGATTGCAATTTGCAACTTCACCTCTAGATGCCACTAAATCGTACACGTTCGTTCTTAAAGAGTGGGGAATTTAAGCACATGGGGTTAAGAAAAGTGTTTATTCTTTTTTTATGTGGAAACATTTTAGATTACAATGTAAATAAAATGAAATATAACATTGTCAGTGTCTCATTGAATATTGTATCTGCATTCATGTGTTGGTATGTCACTGATCTGTCACTCCTCTCCAGGTGGTACCATGGGCACCTCTCTGGGCGAGATGCAGAGAAACTGCTCACAGACAAAGGCAAAGCCGGCAGTTTCCTGGTACGGGAGAGTCAGAGTAAACCGGGCGACTTCGTCCTTTCGGTTCTCACCAATGAAGAGAAACACGAGAATGTTGACCGCAAAACCAAGGTCACCCATGTTATGATACGCTACCAGGTAAGGTTACTCAGTTCAGGCCACTTAAAATATACAGAAACTTAAAATGATAAGGAGGATTTTGTGGATTAAGACTGCCTGGAGGCTTATGATGCCTTCACTACCTCCACATACTGTTTGAGTCATGTATTTTTAAACAGGTCATGATTCATTTTTGCTCTCTAGGAACTACAGCTGTTACTGTATTTAAACTGTTGATGTTTGTCTCCAGCAGGATGGTAAATACGACGTGGGTGGCGGTGAGAGGTTCGACACCCTGGCTGACCTGGTGGATCACTATAAGAAGAACCCCATGGTGGAGAAAAGTGGCATTGTAGTGCACCTCAAACAGGTGAAAAAAATGGAAGAGACATTTAACAAACAACACAAACAAAAGCATAAAATCTGGTGAATCTTTTGCATACAGCACCTTGAAGGCATGGATAATGTTACAATATGCTGATTAATTTAAACCACATAAAAATGTTATTTACATACTTAGACTTATAAAATCTAGAAAATCTAGTTTTGCCTTGTTGACTTATTAACGTTCTCTGTCCCAACGTGACAACGACAGCCCTTTAATGCCACAAGGATAAATGCAGCCAACATTGAGAATCGGGTACGAGAGCTCAACAAAGTAGCAGACAACTCCGAGAAACCCAAACAAGGATTCTGGGAAGAATTTGAGGTATGTAGCCTCAAAACTGAATCGTTTTCGATAATCTTTGATTTTTATATGAAGAAATGTATATGTCTGTTATATTTGTTGGTCATTTTGTTATTCCAGTCATTTAAGCTCTGTGTTCAACAGCTTTATTAAATGAGGGTCCAGCGAAGAGCTTGACTGGCTCGAGTAAAATGTATGAGAAATAATTGGGGAAACTGATTCATGTAAATTACTCTGTTGAGTGCCTTCTTCACCAGGATGTCATTTATTTATTTATTTTTTTCATTTTTGCCATTGGAAAGAGTTTTGAGGATGAAGTTTTCAATAGCTGTCCTATAACACACCCTTTGAAAAACAGATTTATTGTTTTAATAGCTTTTTTGTTTTTCGAACTTTAATGGCTTTCTTGCTTTAGGTAGTAACATAGAGTTCACACTATTTTCCGGAACAGTAATTTGTCCCATAAATGTCATATACTATGTTATAGCCGATTTGTTCCATGACTATTTATATTCATCTGTTTCATATCTTTTTGTGTAGGCTTACATCTATGTACATGTGTTTACGCTGCCTTAACCTTTGAGTAATGCCTTTGGTCGAAGCTCATCTTGTGGCGTGCTCTTATGTTCCTGTTTCAGTAATTTTCATGCAACTGACTGACATTAATAAGAATAATTTCTATTGTGTCGGTGCATATTAGGCTAAGCTGTAACTCTAGATACATGTCTCAATTGCTTAACATATTCTATCTTTCAAGAGGACATATACATCCAAAATGAATTTATGTAGCAAGTATGAAAGAAGAGCTTTTGAGCCCTGCTTGTATTTGAAGGAAACTCATGCTCTTAAGTCTACAGCATGAACACTGACGTGCAGTTTTCCTGTTCTGTTCTTGCACTCCAGTGTGACCCCTACTGTATTAAATGCCCATTACACTGTTCTAAAACAGAGCATTAAGAGGCTGTGAGGAGTAAACAAACAAAAGTTATGTTTATATTCAATGTTGCTCACCAAAACACATCTATCAAAAGTGTTGAATGCATTTCTCATAAAACATTTGCATATATCCACTGGCCTCGAAGTCTGATGTATAGCTTGGAAAATTACCGCCACCTGTTTGTCAGCAGAACTCCACAGGGAACCTTTAAGTAGTATCTAAACATTTTAAGTGGGTGATATGAATTAGTTAGCTTAGAATTAGTGGTTGCATGATAATGAATATTTAACTTCCTGGAACTCTTTGTCTCATCTTGCTTTTCTCCTTTTTTCTTTCGTCGTCAACTATCAGGTACTTCAGCAGCAGGAGTGCAAACTGCTGTATCCCCGGAAAGAAGGCCAGAAGCCAGAAAACAAGAGTAAAAACAGATACAAGAATATCCTCCCCTGTGAGTCTCGCAGCAACCTGCTATTTCCTGTCTCTCCAACTTCCTGTGGAAAGAATGACACAAATACAAATTCGTAGAGGCCTCAGCAGAGCATGAAGATTTTGTTCTGATAGCTCACAGAATATCTATTGACACCATCAAGAGTGATATCAGGAAACTGGAAACATTTTTATGTGTATTAATAACAGTTTGACTTTGTGTTTTCAGTTGACACAACACGGGTTGAAATCAGGGAAGCAGATCCAGATGTTCCTGGTTCAGACTACATCAATGCCAACTACATCAGAGTGAGTCTGTTCAGCATTATACAAGGCCATTTCTCCATAGGCCATAAAAAACCAAAGTACCAAAGTAATACATATATCACGGTATGTCAAAACAGACGATTTTGTCATAAAATACACTCAATTAAAAACCTTTTTATTTCTTTATTTTAGTCTTTATATTAATTCATGAATATTTTCTTCACGAAGTTAAACTATGACTATATGGCTTTACACGACTGTAAGCGTGCAAGTCTGTGACGAAGTGAAGTGAAGAAGTTACACCATTGGTTGGCTGAATGCTGCCACTTCCTGTATCTGTTTTTGGATTAAAAGCCCTCTAGCATAGCTAGGTCTTGAACTAGTGTTGTTGACTTTGTCATCAGGTAGTTCACATTACATTATTACATTTCCTGTGTAAATATGAATCATACTGCCTTCAGTGTATAATTGTCGACACTGTACAGAGTATGCATGAAGAGGGGCGCCATGTGGACGAGGGCAAAGTCTTCATCGCCACCCAAGGGTGCCTACAGAATACAGTCATTGACTTCTGGAAGATGGTGTATCAGGAGAATACACACGTCATCGTCATGACCACGAAGGAGGTGGAACGAGGACGGGTGAGTGATTGGCGCTAAACATACTGCAGATGTACAGGAGGGTAGTTCAGCTGGGGGCCTGCGAAATATTGTTATTGCTTCTGTATACCTTAATGTTGAACAAGAAAGGTAAATTAGTTAAGTAGAAATGTTTCTATACATTGTATTTCTAAATCAAGTCACATTTTTATCTCCCCAGCTCTTTTTCATTTGCTTTCTCTAGCATTTATACCTAAACGGTCGCTATTGTCTCAAGATTGCACTCTTTAAAGCTGATTGCTGTTGATTGCTTGTAATGATTGAGAGCTATGAACTGAGGGGTATTCTGTGACAAGAGATTTGAGATTTTGTGATAAGAGCGTGAGCGAAATACCCCACATCTAAAACTTTCCATCTTAAAAATCCACTACACTAGTCAGGTGTAATTAACAAGTGCTTTACAGAGCAACAGAATAACGGGACAAACAAGAGCAAGAGGTGGACAGTTTTAATGTCTCATGATGAGCTTAATGCTGTTTCAGGTACTTCCTAACCCTAACAAGAAGAAACCAGGGGACACAAAATGTGAATTTGACAAAAAAAATAATAGTTTAATGATACAGTATCAAGTCCTTGTGTTGACCTTTACAAATCTGCATTGCTCTAACTTCATGTCAACCATTTTCTTTCTGCATTCTCAGTTGAAAAACAGTACTTGATGGCCATAGCTGATTCTAAGAGAGAGGAGTGGATACGTGTAGTAGAGATGATGGGCGTGTGTGTGTGTGTGTTTGTGCGTGCGTGTGTGTGTGTGTGTGTGTGTGTGTGTGTGTGTGTGTGTGTGCGGTGTGGGGGTGGGGAGGGAGATGGCTGACAAGGATAGTATGACAGTTAAGCTGATTGGAAAGCTGCTTGGGATGAGCTGGTTCTTTCGATTGTCTAATACTTTCCACCACCCCCTTTCCTCTCTCACTCTTTCTCTCTGTTTTTCCTTCCAATTTAGAATAAATGTGTCCGTTACTGGCCCGACCTCCATGGCACAAAGGAGTTTGGGAAGGTGCTGGTAAGGAACGTGGACGAGCGTCCAGCACAAGACTACATCCTGAGGAAGCTGGAGGTGACCCGTCTGGACCGGGTAAGGAAAGCTGTGTGCACTATCAGAGCTGACCCACTGACCTGGGGTCAGATTATCTAACCCCTCACCCACACATACACACACAAACACAATCCTACAGCACATGCTCAGGCTTAAAAGAATCTACTGCAAGGATCTCCAAAATAAAAGAAGCAGATAGAGGAAAACGAGAGAAAACACTTAAAGAAAACTTAGAGTTGTCCCTGTATACATGAACACAATCCAAATAATGCGTAAATAAAAGCTGTTGCTTAAACAGTAGTCAATTGCATGTAAAAGGGAAGAACTTGAAATGGTTTTTAATGTTTGGATAGCCAATTCTGGTGTTTGTACTGTCGAAGTTTACAAATGTAATATCTTACATATGGCTATTGAAAGTCCTATATCCTATTCAAAACCACAAAGGTTTAGTGTTGAGGCAAATTATAGCTAAATTTAAGAAAATCAACCATTACTTGTTTATTAATAGATCTCAAGTTTACTGAGGTTATTGTTGATCTTTTATAAAAGCAAGAGACTGAAACAGACAGAGTAGTCTGTTTTTGAAGTCTGTCTATGTTTTATACTGCACACAGGAAGGGTTTCTGGTTGCTGTAATGCTTTACTCTGTACTGTATAGTCCACTGGAAGAACGCAGTCCACAATCCTTTACACAAAAGCATATTCCAGTATTCAGGGCTACAAATTGGTACTGGTGTAATTTTTGTTACTACAATTCCAGTCTCAGCAACCTAGCCTACATGTGACCACCAGAGAGTATCCCTATTACAGTACAGCAATAAAAAAGTCCCAGCCAACACAACGAGGGAATTTTGTACTGACTTTGGAAAATACCCACTTGAATTGGCTAAATCAAGCTGCTGAGGCATCATATTAGCTTTGGCTCAACTTCGGAAACCATGTGTGGAATGAGGATTATGGATTTTGTCGCCTATTCAGAGGAAGAAAGAGGAAGACACATGTGTTACATGCCCAAAGTTAGCTTAACACAATTTTAAAATCCTCTATTTTTGCTGTAATTTTTCTGTAGAAGGAGCCTCTGAGGTACATTTGGCACTATCAGTACCTAAGCTGGCCGGACCACGGGGTGCCCAACGAGCCCGGTGGCGTCCTCTGGTTCCTAGAGGAAGTCAATCGCACCCAGAGTACCATTCCAGACACTGGACCCATTGTCGTCCACTGCAGGTACAAGCAGCAGGGAAGGACACGGTTTTACAATATGAAGCTTAGAGTTGGAAGACACCGTTATTGGGCCTTAAGTTAATTTACCGGTGTGTCAGGTGATCTGTAAACTCTATTCTTCAGCAGATATCAACAACAACAATAGTCCCATCTTGTGTACACACACATGCACACACATAATGGCTGCTGGCCTCCTCATCTGAGCCACAAACCTGAGGGCAGTGTTACTGGTGAAGACAACTACAGCATGTTGTAAATGAGAGAGTAAAATAGAATAAGTTTTACTTACTATACTGTCTTTGGTGAAAGTTCATTGATTAATGTAGATTCAGATTCAGAAACATACTCACCCACTCATTACACATTCATTTGTCTGGTTTAAGAGTTCTAGGGGTTTTCCTGTATGGTTCATCTGTGTGTCACTGCTGGCTTTTTTCTTTTTTGGTTTTTCCTGAGTTGACTCAATTTCCCATGAAATGTTAAAGGTGTGAACACCTGAAACAAAAAAAGTTTATAGTTTAGAAAAACATTATTTCAGTTGTCCACTTGGGTGTGCTATAATTAAGGTTCAAAATGTTGCCTCCTTATCGGCAATAAGGCTTCACTAAACTAGCACCAGTAACTAATTATACATGGCCTATACATGGCCACTATAAACCAACCAACTTATCAAAGCATATTCATTTTATAGCAATTCAATTTTTCTCTCACCACATTAATGCCCCAAGCTCAGTGGCCCTCTGTCACCTTCAAAGACATGGTTATCAGTACAAACACACAAGCTCATACTGTAATTAGACTTAAACCTCCGTGTTGTAGCTGCATTTACTTACTATAACTGCCTTTTTCCAGTAAACTATTACTACACATGCTTTATTCACACTGATTTGTTTTACTTATGAAGATTGTCAGCATAGCCACTAACTAAACAGCAGAAACTATTTGAAATCTGTTGGAGTGCTGCTGCAGTCAGGATGTGCTCCTTGTCTTGATATGACAACCCAAAATTATATATATATATTATATATATACGTATAATATAGAGTACTGCTGCATTGACATATGTCGAAATATGTTTTCTGTTTATGATGATCATGTTGATATTGTCAGGAGTGCATTGACTCACCACTCTTTCACTTTTTATACTGATTGTAAGGGATAAACTTGAATAATAAGTTTTTTTGTGTGTTTTTATTGAGATGTTAATTTGACAGCAGACAGGTCAAACATATTGAGAGCAAATAAATGTTGTAATAGATTTGTCCATTTGGTGTGCTTTTATGTATTTCATCATACTAAACAACCCCAACATGTTCTACAAACACTGACAGAACACATCTGACTCATTGACTTCAATGATCAGTTGCCTGCTCATAAATCAATAATGTTATTGTGGGGAAATAACGAGTGAAGTTCTGAAGAGGATCTAACAGCATTTTGAATGTGACACAACAACAAATTCAACTTACTTTATTGTTGTAAAAAAAACAACCATGTGTAACTCCCTTGTGTATGTGGACTGTGAAAACTCTTTGGCTCCTGATGTTTATGTAACACTTTTCATACGTGTATGTTTAACTTCAACACTAATTGTTTGACTTTTCACTCTGTTATCCCCACAGTGCAGGCATCGGTAGGACAGGCACCATTATCGTCATTGACATCCTTATTGACATCATTAACCGCCAAGGTGGGAGATATGAAACTGAAACACTGGATTTCTTTTGGTATTAAAATATTTATATTGCATCTCTGCTAATTTCTGGTTGTGTGTATGTGTGTGTTCTAGGTCTAGATTGTGACATCGACATCCCTAAGACCATCCAGAGGGTACGGCAGCAGAGGTCGGGCATGGTGCAGACTGAGGCCCAGTATAAGTTTATCTACATGGCTGTGCAGCAGTACATCGACACAGCTCAGAAGAGACTGGAGGAGGAGCAGGTACTCCGCCACACAATAAGTCAACATTACAGAGGCTTTCAAAAGAACTTAAAATAAATCAAATTCATCACAATCAGAATTTTAGGCCTCAAAATGTCTTAGACACAATTGTTTTTCACAGGTTGAAGTTAATGTTACTTTACTAATAAAGTTACTAAAGGTAAGTAAATGCTCAAGTTAGGAACTTTGGGTATAAGGGCATTAGAGTTGCATGGGAAGTCAGAAAAACATAAAGCTGCAATAAAAATCCAGGAGCAGATGCCAGCCATCAACCCAATATTGTTCCGTATTTACATTGGGAGCATTACCAATGTCCGGCCCCAGTACAACCTACTCAGCATTAACAACGTCGACTCCTGCAACTCTGCCGGAGTTCGGATTTATGCCAACATTGGTTCTCTGAACTTTACACATTGTAGCTAAAGGTCTTTCATAAAGGTCATAAAAAGTCTTAAATATAACTTGTTGAAACCGGGAGAAATCCTGTTATATAGGCGTGTTTGAGCTATAAACTGAATCTGCCGCTTGTCATGTTGCATGTGTCATGTGTTGCAGAGGAATAAGATGAAGGAGAGGGAATATTCCAATATCAAATATCCACAGATGACCAACTCGAGGTCCAAACCCAGCATGGCATCCTCGCGCTCTTCTTCTGTGTAAGTTGAAAATAAACCATGACGGTGAAACGTCAGTTGTCATGGTTGTTAAACATGTGATCACAGAAAGAACCATTGCAGAAAACAAGTTTGTGATTCTTTTCTCTGTGTCATTGTAGGATGACAAATGATGATTCGTCGAGTGTGTACGAGAACATCAACTTTAAAAGCCCTCAGACGTCTTTTAGCAGTAACACCAGGAGGTAAAGCCGTCACTGTGGACCTCCACATCTCTCTGTCTGCCTCTCTGTGAGTACTTCATGAATGAGTCCTGTTGATCCACGTGTAAGGCAAGGAAGGAGAAGACTGCAGCTAGTAAACATGTTTGTAAAAAATACAGGATTTAAAATACTCCACTGGCCCTCCTTACCTCAAACGTACAATATATACATCTCACATCAAAACAAACGTCATGATTAAAAGAGTTTCTCCTTCAAAATCAGTGTTTATCCGACGCAGATCAGCTGACAAATGACATCCCTGAGGGCTTGCCGGCTGAGCTGCTGCTAACGTTCACTCAGCTTGTTTCTCTCTGAATGTGAGATCCAGATGTCTGATGAATAAAATCTTGAATAAAAACCACCAAGATCAAAAAGTGTATTGTGGGTTTGAGCATTGTTGGGATAATGTAAGTAGACAACTCAACAGAATATATAACATGAGTCTAGTGTTTATAGACAGTTTAATGCAGAAATGTTACATATTATATTTTTAAAGCTTGACAGATTTTTTTTTATAGAGAACTGAAGGCGCTGTTAAAACTTTTACACTGACATAAGTTCAATTTCTTCCAGTGAGTTAAATTCATTTTGTAAATGTAATGTTCTCTTTTATTGTGCTGAAATTATAGGGTGGCCAGGAGCGGCTGAGCTTCCTTTAAAGAAAACCTGAGCTCCCCTTAAAGCAACAAAAGATTTAATTTAGGTTCAAATTATAATCAACCTCTAATCTCACAGGCTCATTCTTTGCCCACTCACAGTGATTAATACAGCAGACAGGGAACTGCAGGGTTAAAGTGAGTGAGTCATACAGTAGCAATGAACAATGTTTTAATCACCAGTGAATGTATATAAAAGACATTTTAGCAGTTCCTTGTGTTTCCAAATACTCAAATTATAGCACTTAAAAACAATCCAGTAAAAACTTTTTTATAACTTGATGCCTAATTTTGATTGAATTCTTTGACACCTTATTAAATGTGTACGTTGCACTAATATCAGAGTATTGTGGTTGGAAGTCAGTTCAAGTTGTCATTTCAGTTGGTTGTTGGATATTCAGCCTTTCACCCATTTGACTAACTTTCTCTGGGCCTCTGAAAAAAGAGTCTCTTTTTTCCACTTTGTATGGAATGTAACTGTTCCAGTTGAGCATTTTGAGCTGTCACATATTTTAGCTACAAATGTTGTACATCTCGATACAGAAGTGACAAAAAGACGTTTACTGCTGTGTGTTTAACACAGATTTACTCGGCATGGAGCATTTTTCTGGCCGTTACCTCTCCACAAGAAGAGAACCAGCTCCGTTCCAGTTTAAGCACCTAGTTTTGAACCATTCGCTGCATTTTAACCAAAACTAAATTGGTTCAAAACCGGAAAAGTTGCTGAAACCAAAAAATAGGTTTTTCCTGGGAACCAAAGTGGGCGTGGGATCTCTGAATGTCTGGTATTGTGAGACTAGCTTATCGGGTACTTCATCAGTATCGCTCTATCAGCTGATAAATAACAAGAAATTGCAGTCTGAAATGACAAAGATATGTGTACTGGACAAGTGAACTCATAAATAAATAAAAGAGTTTATACAAATATACACAAATCTAGTGTCTTACTGCGCTCTGTTTTGTTTTAAACCTTGCATGCAAAGATTATAAAGGCAATAAAGGTTGTTTCAATTCAGATTTATTGAAGCACTTTTAATCAAAAATGATCCAAACACCCAAACACAGTGCTGTATGTGCTCCACCTCTCCCTGTCTAGATAAGCTGTCAGGTGTAGTGTATTCTGAGTAAACACTGCTTTTAGCTCCATATCATGAATTACATCAGATCCAAGTGTCCATGATTCAAAGTGACACCAGCCATTAACTCCGCTTGTCTGCTTGTCTGTTCATGTTTGCTTCAGTTTCAGCTGAGGTTTCGCTTCGTCAGCGCCTGAAAAAGCCTCGGGGTAGGAGGGAGCATGTTGCTCTGAATACACCCCACACCAGTGGACCCTGCCTGGGCTGAAGGTGGCGAGCTGACCCCTCCCCTGCCGTCCTGCTGGACCTCTGTCTGGAGTCAAACCGTACCCTCTGTAGAGAGGGTGTAGAGGACTCTACAGTATAGCGCTCTCACTCAGGACCCTTGTCCTCAACCCTCTTTCTCTCCCCCCACCGCTGCAGCCTCTCCCTCTCTCAACCAGTGCAAGTGCCTTGTCACAGGATGTGTCTGTAATCTAGCCTCCCAAAACTTGCTGTTACATCTCTACTGTTACTACTTTTCCAAAGCTTTGGAAGTTTTCCTTGGGGTAACAAACAATAAACGTGGAGTCTGCCCCCGCCTGAACTAAACAGAACTGTACGGGACCCAAGAAGAGGTCAAAGCTAGGCTGTTTGTCCACTCGTTGCCAGAAATCAATCTGTTCACTATCCCTCTTCTCTGACTTTGCTGGCGTGCATTCGGACTTGAACTTAAGACTGTTTTAGTGGTCTTCTGTCTCTCCAGCTGTGGTAGTTTTTAATGTGGCTGCTGAGTGATAGCATGGGCAGTTACATAACTTGCTGCAGGACCCTGGGTCACAGGGAGGGCAAGCAAACCCTCTTCTTTATCAAATTTTGAAATATTAATTTTAAGTAAATGTGTGGGTTTGTTTTCTTTTTTTTTTTGTCTGTCAGCTTGTTTTCATCATTTCTTTGTGTTTTGTTGATACATTTGTGTAACATTTGAGATGTTGATTTTATGATATGTATGTGTGTGTTTATACATATGTATACACACACACACACACACATATATACACACATATATATTTATACTTATTTATATATGTTGTCATGTTTAAGCACGGTTGTCTGCGCAGCATCCCTAGTACTAATTTTGATTTACCAGTAGATAGTAATAATAGTTTAAAGTCCATATTTGACAGGAAACGGTGGAGAGGATTCCTGAATGGGGGGTTGGAGTTGAGCTTGGCTGACCCCCGCATCTCAGCTCTGTTCGACTGGCTGTCCTCGTTAATCAGCGGGTCTGATGCAGTTCAACATCTGTCGGAGGAGATCGTCACAAGGAGACAAGGGAAAGGGGGACGATTACAGTGGGCCAGATGGCCATCTGCCTGAGATTGAAGAATAGATTTGTCTCCAAAAAGTAATTTAGAAGATGGCCATAATCCAGGCTTGATGATAGCGGGGCGAGTAAGCCGGCATCATTGATGTGATAAGGAAGATGGTGGTGGCGCAGAGCACCGAGCCCTCTGCGCTGTCTGGCAGATTGTTCACTATTTTTAGCCTCCAGGATCAGCACCAAAATATCCCACTCAAACACAAGTGCAGATATGTTGGTGAAATCTGACTTAGCTTGTTAAAAATGTAACAACTTAATGGCCCTGAACACCTTAACTAAAGTCTCACAATAGGAAGATGTCATGATACTACTTTTTATTTAATGTTAAGGCATCATAATAAACCATGAATGAACGGCACTTGTGCTCAGACCATTCCTCTTTCTCCACCAACAGAAATGTTGGACTAACCAGGTCAAGGACACTCGCAGGCTGGACTCACCTTGTTGTCTTCAGTCATAAATTGGCCAGTTTCTGCAGCTGCAGCGCGTGATTTAAAGTACAGCTAATCAAAATGTACTGGAGTAATAGTACTCTCAACCGATCTGATACCGTTGACCTTGTGGGAAATATTAAAATACAATAACAATACAACCTGCAGCAGCCATATCATCCTGTCTGACTGCTGAGTTCTGTCTTTTAAAGGCTTACAAGAGCACATAGTGGTTTTATTAAGGTCTCAGTACATCAGTTGAAGCTTTGTCTGTCTACTGATTTCAGTCACTTGTCTGTCTGTGTGGAGAGTTTTCCCAGAGAGTATAAGTTGTTGCCAATGTATTTTAATGGCTGATTGTTTATGTGAATAGAAGCTATGTTTTATGAAATGAGTGGCATTGATGCCCTGTGTCAGTGAAGGCCCATGTCTGTTAGATAAATGCTGCACCACTCAATGTACTTCAGTTGAATTTGAATGTTTGAATCCCTCTGGGGCTTTTTTCCCTTTTGTTCTTTTCCCATCTGAACTGTCCGATGAATGAGAAATGACTTTTGTGGGTTTTGTTTCTTGCGCTGTGGATAATTTAGATTTTTATTGTATTTTACTTTGTCTCTATGGGTCAGATTTTTTTTATGATATGATGAAACATCAATACTTGAAAGTGTGAAACTGCTGAATCTTTGGCCTCAGGCTGTGTGTGGATGTCCCTTGGCTGTGGAAGTATTTTTGGTAGTGCACTAGGTTTTTGCCATCAGTGTTGGGGTTTTTTGTTTTTTGTCCTGTTGTTTCATTTTGCTGATATGTTTCAAATTGTATTTCTAATTGATTGTTTTATCCACTCTTGCATTTTGTATTGTGTCTGAATTATTATTATTACTATTATTATTGGTGTAATTTCACCAGCGATAAGTAAATTCTGGAGTTGAACCAGTGTACATTGAGGAATGCAGTAGTAACACGGTATTTTCTTTCTGCTTGTCCTCTTTCATTTACTTGAACATTATGTTGATGTCTTTTTGTTTTGATTCCTTGTTCCTCCGTTGCTAACAGTATGCCTGAAGTGAGTCGTGGTGTACTGATTGCTCCCATGTTGTTTCCTCTTCTTGCACTGGCTTTGCCCAGATGCCTTTTTGCTGTATAGGCTACAACTGCTGATGCAATGAGCTGCCAGAAATGGCATCAAAATGGTTTATTATCATATACAGTTTAATAAAAATCTATGATGGCACTATGTAAAGTTACACATGCAGTTTGCTTCTATCTGTTGCGTGTGAATCTGGAGCAGGTTTTCTACTGGGGCGAGGAGACTCTCTTCCATTCCATTTTTGGAAAAGGTTCCTAGAAAGTCTTTTGACCCCAAAGTGAAAGAAAGATCAGTGTAACAAGCAAGCTTTCTGTATTTTGGACTGTTCTGTCTCCAGGTGCGGTCCCAGTAGTGGAGGAGCAGCAGAGAACACAGGAGCACAGTGTGTTTGAGTTGGACCACTCTAGTTGTCTCTTCAATTGGAAAAGTACTCTACTCCATGAAATGCATGATGATCAAGAATATTGCTCAATGAACACGAGTTAATTAAGGAAACAAGAAAGACACCAATTTTATCAGTTATGACAGATTATTTCATGGCTGAAGTGGCCTGTAGACATTGTGACTTTGAAATTAGTAATTATTTTCTGCATTTTAACACATAAAGGGTTGACTAAAACTGTTTTATGTGGCGGCTATCCACAAGGAGGAGGAGGCTGTTTATTCTGCTAAATTGGAGAGATGGAAAAACACACAGACAACTTCATAGTAAAATTTTTTTTTGATTAAATGCCCTAGTGCAAAATGACCCAACTTACAAGAAGCCTTTATTCAAATATTTTACATTAAATATTTATTATTATATTATTTCTTTTTTTTTTTTACATTTTGAATCATGACTGAGCGTTTTGTGTTTGTTTTTCCTGGATCTAGGTTAACCATGTTTACTGGTAGTCGCAGTTGTGTTTAAGGAAGTTCCACTTTTATTATGGCCACTCCTGAATGAGTGTTAAAATTTAATGTAATTATCTTATCACCATGTGTTACAAGGTACCTACCTGGAAAATCCCACAGCCTAACCCTTCCTTGATCTGACGCACCTAATCTAGGAATAAATAAAGACAACTTCCTGTCAAGACGGAGGAGGTCTTTGCTTTTATTGTCATATGTTTAAGGTTGAGATAGGGCGGAAATGACAAACAGCAGGTCAGTGAATGGCTCGACTGTGTTGCAACTCGACCCTGAAACTAATACTACTTTTTAATTGGCATTTAAGTACGTCAGGCGTTGTGCGTTATTTGAGGGGAATTTACAACAACCTGCTGTTCAGACAGATTAAAACCACCAACTGATGCTGCAGTACATTTTTTGAAATGTAGAGAAAATGCATGAAGATGATGACAAATCACCATCAAATGATATGATTCTTAACAATGAGGCTGTCATGCACAAATGTTTTGTTATTTCCCAGAAGCATGATGTGAGCGGGCACCTCACTTCTTTATTATAGTTCTGTAAACAAGGGCATATCAAAACACACACAAATCAAATGTACAATATATAAAGTCTGAGTTCTTAGTTGGCACATTGGGATTACATTTGTTAAATGAGCGTGGTCATTTTCCAAAGCAAACCTCACATTTTATCAATAAATGTCAGCATTTTGAACTTTAATGCTGTATACTACTGTGAAGTTTAAATCACTGAATGTTCTGAAAACAAATCAACCCACTCAGCAAACATATCAACCCACTCAGCAAACAAATCAATCCACTTGTGTTCTGAACCTGATGTTACGTGCCCGAATAAGAAACAAAGTCCATTAAACCAGTTAGACCAATAAGTCAGGTGTCAATTTAAGTGCAAAATATTTTGAACATCATTTTAGGGAAAGTGCCTGTCAGAGTTATTCTCTTTCCACTTTTTGATGTCATTTGTATCAGCTTGTATGTGCAGTTCAGTAATGTACTACTGCAAATGTATAATGCATAATGCATAAATTCCAGCTTTGTAGAGTTAAAGCTGCTATGTGTAGATTCTTTTGTGTTCTTATAATTTAAATATTCAACATAATTTAAGTTAGTCTGACAGCATATGACACACATTCCAGTGAATATTGGTGCAGTTTGTGTTGCTTTCAGCCATTTCATTCCTGTCTGGTAGAGGGGTCTACCACAGCCTCTTTTAAAAAAAACACCAGTGGGGGCCACTATAGTCAGACTTTTATGGTTCTGTTGAAGGTTCAAAATCGGAGTGTACCAATTACAATGTGCACTTATCAAAAGCGCACAAAATAATTTTACACAAAAGATTTTCAATGCCAAATATTTAAGATATAACTAATGTGTCAATATAATGCAGTTACAGTGAAGTCCAGTCAGTCTAGAAGTTTACATCAGACCGGGTTGGCGAGTGAATGTGCTGAAAATAGTGGTAGTAGTTGAGGTGGTAGTGGGGTCAGGCCCGGGGTGCACGGGTTCTCGCATACAGCGCATATTCCCAGTGCTGAATACACACTGCAGTGGCCACAACACAATGACAACAAGCAGCACCATGAGCACAATGAAGAGCACCATCCTTTTCCAGTCTGCCAGCCGATCCAGTCGGCCAAAAGTCCGAGACCCCGTCTGGATTGGAGCGTCCACTGTTTTGCTGGCTCCAATGTCAATGCAGACGCAGAAAGCCGTGGGACTGTCAGGGGTGCCCGAATCAGTGTTGTGCCTGGAGCTCTTGTAGCACAACTTCTCCCCATCCAACCACACCGGCTCCTCCTGCTGCTGGTGGCTGGGCAGTTTGCAGAGGACCTCGTGGCTGGTGGTCAGGGCCGGGGGTCCATCCTCGGGCAGGAGGGTAGAGTGACGGCAGAAGGGGCAAGAGAGGCGAGTGCTGCTGCCATTACCGTCTTGGTCAGCCAGCGAGACAGCCATGAGGCGGGAGAGGCACTCCAGGCAGAAGGTGTGGGTGCACTCCAGCAGCTTGGGTGTTTTGAAGACATTGTCATAGGTGTTGTAGCAGATGGAGCACTCCGGCTGGCTCACGACTGACACCTTCTTCTGCATCTCTTCAGCGGTGTCCTGGCGGGCGACCTGCATGTGCCAAATCTGCGGAGACTGTTCCATCTTCAGAACTATAAGCTCACCCTCTCCTATGTCGAGTCTCCTCTGGACCCTCTGGCCTTCTCTTTCCTCACCTTGGTGTGTCCTTAACTGGATTATCCTAAAAGAGAATGAATGAAAAGTACAGATTTTCATATTTCAGATCATATCTCGCTCCTACTATCATGAAAACTATGCAAGCAAGTGCAAATAATTTTTTCAGTCATGCACAACCATAATCCCAACCGAATTTCAGTCAATCAGTGTACATTTTATACAGCCCAGTTGAATGCTTAACTTTGAACGATGTTTACCCTCAGGCAGAGAACACGTAATATTACAAAGCTGATAGGATTTTGGTCGGTCAATGAGTAATTCAGTCACGAGTGTTGTGCAAAATGGGTCAAATGTGTTGAGTGATATTGTGGATTTACTAAAGCAGAAGCAACAAGCACAAACAAGTGAGCCAGTGAAGTGATGTGCCCGGCAGGATTGGCCAATGCCCACCCCTATAGTCTTTATAGTGTGGGCAAGATGTTCCGCAGGTGCAGTGAGGGTTACCTAACCATGACAAGCCATATTCGAGACCCTTTATTTCACCATAAATTATAAAAATTAAAAACCTTTACTGACCAAGAATAAGCCCCCAGTAGTACAGTTTGGTGTTATAATGCTTTACCAGTGAATGACTCAATGTCCCGGTCATTAACAAGCACCGTTTGCTGAGCGTCATATGATACATTGTAGATGGAACGTTTTTGCTTGCTGATGACCTGAGCATAGAGTCAATCGAGTGCAAACCTTATGGTCCTCACACTCTCAGGCTGACTGATGATGATGATTCTGTACAATGTGTTTGTGGAAGAAACGTTTTTTCCAAATCAGTGTCGCTGCTACGTTTGGGGCTCATCTGCTTTACCTTCAAATATTTCTATATCAGTGTAGGTAGTGAAAATACAGAATCTGTTATCTAACTAATGATTAAGCAAGCAAACTGAAACAGTGTAGCCCACGTGCTGTCTTGATAGCTATTTTGAGCTAAGTTCCTGTTAGCTTTTAACCCTTCAACACCAAGATGGAGTGGATATTTTATTGTTTTGCACTTTTTAATGTACACAATGACTGAAAATACAAAGGCAACTCTTTTGACACACATTCACGTTCACATAGCTTTTTATAATGCTGTGTTCCTGAGAGTTTATCTCTATCTGTAGAAAGAAAACAACTAACAAACTGACCCCTGAGACCATGTTAACCTGTCACCTGTAAAACCGCAATGTAATTAAGACATATAGTACCAGAATAACCTCAATATCTTACCCATGTCTTATCAAAGAAGACCTTATCAGACTGCATAGAGTTTACATGCAACAGTTTGTGCTGTTTACAGTTATTCAAAAGAGTTGAGTATTTTACTGAGCAGTTTGCATATAGTGGTAGCCAGTGGGGCATGCAAACGTACACCAGCTGACACAGGGAGTCCTTGAGCACCTTCTTGCATCAAGCAGCTGATGAAAGATTGGGTGAGTTACAGCATGTGGATGAACACAGGCTGCTTTGTTAATGTGACTTTTTGAGCATGTGTGTTCAAATGTTTATATCAGACAGTACAGGAACTTTACAGGAGCTAATAGACCAGACCTGTGGGTCACCGGGACCAGGGTTGAATAGTGTAAAGTCTGCAGGGCTTTGAGGACCAAATTGCTGCTCTCTTTTGAGCCTCGTGTTTTTAGGATGATAAGAATATTACATGGTAATAAGCTGCCTGCTGGTGTTGTGGGTTAGGTTAAAGACCCCTAATGTGAAGGAGACTGTGTGTGTTTGTGTGCTGGGGATAAAGGATGGTCAGAGCACAGGTGTTCTCCTCTCTGTGCCCTCGGGGCTGGTCCTACCCCACAACTCCCATCTACACAAAGTCCCTGCTTGTTCTCCACCTAATCACTTCATCTACCCTTGAAATTCCTGCACTACCGACTCTCTCTCTCTCTCTTCATCTCCACAGAATTTAAACATGCTTTAGTGGGATGAGGACAGATTTTTCTGTATAATTACACCTGTCTTATCAGTTTAAAGCCCCTCCTAGTCACTAAGCAAGACTCAATTCCCCTTTTGCTCAGATTGAAATTCTGTGATCCGGTGTGGTCGTTTGCCTGAGCCTCCTGATCAAAAGTGTATCCAGATAAAAATTGAACTTCATGACAGACTGTTTTGGTTAACCCCACCTCACCAACCACTACGGAGAAAAATACCTGTGTCCAGTGGGAGTGGACTGAAACTAAACTGAAAAATCCCTTCAAACATTCAAATATTTACACAGTTGCCTCTCATTTTAAAATAAGGCTGCTACAGAGTGCTCAGTGCAGGTTTAAAAAATATGTAGAGAAATGGAAGAATTAATAAGTAACTGGAATAATAACCAGCTTTTTCACTTTACTTGAGAGGAATCCTGTTCAAATTATGTAATTTGTGTTGGAACAAACTGTGTTTAACTGCTGTTAGGGGCAGCGAACACTGCCTTTGGCTCTCTACCACTATGCTGTTATCATTCCGCCCATTGGCATGTTCACAGTATTGGCCTAGCTAGTATTTACACAAAGTGTTCATTCACACCCATACATTTTCATATTAGGTTAATCAGTTTATGCTTAATATCATTCTCAGGTCATAGAGATCACGCTCAAGGTCTTTGAGAGGAGAAACCGTTTTCCAAAGCCCCAGGCTATGTTACCTGTAGAACGAGCACAGAGTAAATAGCAACCTACCCAGAACTGAACAACACACTCTTACAAGCCAATGAGGTGAAAGCAATTTTGGCGACGGCCTCAGGCTGTACTTTGTTGTAGTCCTAATGTTTCCTTGAACAGTCCTCGGCAGAACACCAGGTTATATATAATGTAGTTTTTAAATAGAATCATCACAAAGACTCAGATACATTTACAGCGTCTTTGTTTGACCTTGTCTTTTACTGTGTAATGATAAAAACAACAACTCAGGTCTAACAAATCCCACACCTGCTCCACTGTGTGCTTGACACGACCTCTCCTGTCCAGTAGATCTCCATTCCCGGTGATCTGGCCACACATTCAGCTTCTATCTTAAAGGTTTAAAAAAGTTTCACAATTTTGAATCTGCCGGCTGCTCAGAAGGAATGCGCCGAGCACATTCCACGGCTCTCTATCTAAGGTCCTGCCGAGTTCATTTACAAATGCGAAAAATGTGCTGTTTACATCACGATCTGACCCTCTTTCACACATTAGAGACACAGCACTGGGAACACGTTATTAAATTATATCCCTGCATTGGTGAAATATGTCCTTTGGTTTTCTGAAAGTTAAAGAATGGATAGTCTTCTTTTCTAACCCTTCTATTTGTTATCTGGTGTACACTGAATTTTGTTACAAACCTAGTTTCAGCCCCTTAAGAGGGAGTTTTGAAGAAGAAATAACTCATTCTTTGTTTTACAGATGAGAAGATGAGCAGTTAAACACACCCCTGCTCAGTCCAGTATGCTCTGGGGTTTTGCTGCTATGGCCTTATTCGGTCTGACCAGTAGCTTATGATGGCTAATATTAGCTCATGTTAGCAAACTTTAGCTTGATTCAGTTCACTTGACAGTTGTCTTTACTTGTGCTAGAGTCCAGGTGGAGGCTAAGCAATCCATAGGTTATTTGGAGTCAAAATGAAGGGTCATAGCTCGTAAGTCAAATATTAACTAAGTTGTTGCTGAAACCAAAATACCAGGTCCCTAATTGTCTTTGTAAGGTATTCTGCTTTGAGCTTCAATTTATGGTGTCTCATTGCCATTAAGGGCATGTCCCACTGACCCATTAGTACACAAATTGCAGCTCATCTGCCAAGTGTCCTTCTTAAGATTCATGTAAAAAATACTGTAGTTTGCTCTTTTCAGCCCCTTTGTGTGGGGCTGTGTGTACCTTCAGCTCGACTATCATCCACAATGCTGCCCTACCTGTTCTCAGTTTGAAAAGTAAATGAAACTGGATCTACCTGCTGTTTGAACTAGGGGTGGTGGGGTTGGGGTGTGCTGCAGTTTACAGTTTAACTGAACCCGAGTGTGCACAGACAGCACATGTAAACACAACAGACAATGCAAGAAACAGTATACAGACACTTGAGAATCATAACTGACTGTAAGGAAAGCTGCTCGTGCACTCTTACATTCATTTGCAACTAAGTAAAGTTAAGGAAAAACCTAATTTATTACAGATGGGCTGTCTGGAGTTAAGTTGTATTGATTTCAACTTTTAGGAAAATCTCTTCCCTCAAAGTACTGCAGTTCTTACAAAGTCTCAGGTCATACTTATGGTCTACACTTTAAAAGAAAATGCTAAACTAGTAGAAGTTTTTAACATCTTGTATTATAACAACAGTAAGCCACAAACTGGTATAAAAAGCACAAAGGCAGCAAAGGTTCAGTTTACCTGTTGACTGAAGAAGATGTCAGATGATCCTTTCTTTATCTCTCAGGGGCCGGGCTCAGCTCACTCCTATTGCACCTGAAAATGCATTTTTCTGGAGTCAACTGACTTCTGGGATGCCAGCAAGGAGTTTGGGGTTTTAATTGTGCCTCTGACCAGGCTAGAGTCCTCCTCTGTATTGGTCTGAACAGTCTTCTGGAGTCACAGGTGTGTGGGTGTGTGTATAAGTAGGGTTGTGCTCAGAGGCTGTGTAATAGCTTGCAGTGTTGGTGTCAGTTCTGGGTCCTCCTTCCTCTGTGTCCGTTGGCCGGTATCACCTGCCCCTGCTCTGTCAGCTCCCCTTTTGTAGCACTTTATGCAAATGACTTTAGACAGTGTCTCAGCCTTGAGGTGGCGTCTGGAGGTGGAAAGGAGGAGGAGGAGGAGGGGGGAGAGGGGGAGGAGGAGAGGGAGGGAGGTGAAGGAAGAAGCCTCAAGACTTCAAGGAGAGTAATACACATTCTTCCTCTATCACCACTCCTCCCTGTCTCTTTCTATGTTGATATCTTTCTCTTTCTCCTCCTCACCTCTTTGTACCTGTCTTCTCCCCCCCCCCACACACACACACACAATGCAAATACACCTCACCTCCAGTCCAATATACAAACACATACAGTGTAATAAATCCTTCACCTGACAGCTGCGTTCCTTTTCTTATAATATCTCACATCTGCACTCTACAGACTGCACCTTTTTTCTCTCTCCCCAGAATGATGAAATGCAAACTGTATGAATCAGTCGATGTGGTGTAAACACCACTGCAATGGGCATTTCACACAAAAGACAAACTACACAGCTTTTGCATCAGCCAGAATGCCTGGGTTGAACAATACATATAAGGGATTCATTTCCATTTAGTCAGTGATAAGGTAGCAGGTGGCGATACAGGACTATCTTCCCATCGTAGCACCAAGAGCCTGTTGTTCCACTTCCTTACTGCTGTACAGTGTTGCTGGTTGGTATGACACATGTTCCCAGAGTTCAGAGCAGCAACCTTTATGCGTGTGTATTTTGAAAACGTTCCCAGCTACGCTTCACCAGAGTGTTTTGTAATGACAAATGTGATGTCATGTTGGGTCTTAGATGATGAGATCACCATTACGTAGAAAAGCATTTTCTCCAAACCTGCATTTCAAAGACTTTTATAAACATTCTTTCAATAATTAATTCAGGAAATAAACGTAAAAAATAACAAATGTCCACCAGGAAAAGGCGCCTGCTCATTAAGATAACTTGAATGATGTGTGTTAGACCTTTTTATTGGATTACTCATTTTATTTTATGGTAATGACTAATGGCTCTTGGCCCATTAGTAATAGCATGTCTCTGCAATAACAGCTGGCTAACTGACTTGGTTATTTAGTAACCCAAACACAAATACTGCCGTATCATATCAGCAAAGTAATTTATTGGGCATTGAGTTGTGAGTGCTTTGAGGAAGGAGCAGGTATACAATCAAAAGCTGTTTTATTCGCCTTCCTGGAATCCCTGAACTTGGCTTTATAATAAATATGTCAAAGATTTAGTGGGTGGCTGGGTGAAAGTAATAAGCTACAGTAAGTTATCTTGCGGGATGGAGGGCAGGGGGAAGCTGCCGCAGAGGCTGAGGAGGGATCCACGTGAGCGGGGAAGCTGCGTGTGCAGGCAGGCTGTAAATGACACAATGTTGACTGTCTCTCCACCCGGCCTACATTTACTCCAACACGAGAGAGCAAAGATGATTTTTTCAACCTTTGTCACCAAGGACAAAATCTAGCATTTTTTCAGGATAAAATATCCAGTGTTACATGAGCGTGAACTGTGGTACTAGATATACAATCTGGTATCCAGATATGAATTGCACCGCTGTGCCTATAGCCTATGTACTCCACGACGAGCCGCTAACATAGCTTTAGACCCTTGGCCTTGCTTACCACCTCAACTTTCAGTGGAAAGTTTAGTGTTCCCTAAAGTTTCAGAGGCAGCAAAGGTCCACAGATGGAACGGAACTAGGGCCGTTGATGTTATGGGGATTGGGTCTTTCATCCAAAAAATCATCACTATATTACCTCACATTGTGTATTTAAGCATTTTCTTTTGTTTTGATTTAATTAATTTCACAGATCTTACTTTAAAACAAATTGTGTCAAATTAGAATTGACACAATAGTGTCAATTCTAATTGAGGAAACAGTACACCTCAAGGTGCTTTTCCACCTTCCAGCACCCATCTGCACCCATCTGCTTCTGTACAACTCAGCAACCAGCATCAGCATTACATCAGTTTTTCCAATGCGGTAGTCTTCATGTGAATTTGGTAAAAAGTCACATGGGAGAATAGGTTCCTGGATCCAACACCCAGCATGTTTACACTTCCTGTCTGTATCCTTTCTTTACTGTCAACCAGCGGGGTGCCACACGTGAGATTAGGTCAACTGCCTTCTGTTTTTATGCCCCTGAACTGTGGATTTACTGCATCTAGATATCAGAACAGCAAACTCATTGTATGTTTATTATTGTATCTTATGACCTTTCTTTTTAATCTGGCTTTTATTTGGAGTAATGTTATGGCCTTAGTTTTAGTTTTAATCATTGTTTTTTATATTATTTTTATCTCTGTTTTTTATTTGTTTCTACTGACTATTATTTATTAGTGTTTTAAATTGTATTGTTTCTATTGAATTCATTTTTAGTTTAGCCTTTACTTGTATTTTTTTTGTTCTTTTTGTTGTTTCAGTTTTACTATGTGAGCTCCTTTGGGCTGCTTGTTTGTATGAAAGGTGCAATATAAATAAAGTTGAGTTGTTGAACATAAATAAAACATCCACATTCAATAAATGCTACTTGTGAATTGTGGAGGGCTGGAATGTATGTTAGAAGAACAAGCAGGAAGAGTTTAGTTTTGGGGGTAAATGAGATCTGTTTGACTACAAGGACAGACAGAGATCAGGTGTGACAGCAGAGGTTCAAAAGAACTACAAAACAAAGTAGGTAAATACTGATTTACAAGCTTATGAGAGTCTATTTTATAGTTTACTGTACGCCTAGTTATAGGTTACTGACTTATCTTTATGGCCTGACTGCAAAACAGTCATGTTTTATGAATAATCTTTGTCCCTGTGACTCTTACCGTAGCGCTCTCTGTGTTTTCTTACCAACTTATGTATTAAGGAAGAGGGAAGTATATCATCCTGCTCTTTATCAGGGTCACATTATCATGACCATTAGTATATTAACAAACTTTTGAGTTCAAGCAGACCTCACCCCATTCCGCTTTGCAAAAGGTTATTCCCAGAATAGCTTTCCATAACAAAGATCCTACTTTTGAATTCAGGTTCAAGCAATATTTGTGTTTGGTGTAAGGTGATCATTTTCCAACACACTGATGCTCACCGTGGCTCTTATTTATATAGTTGTATTTATGCTGGTCTAGTTTCTGCACTGTTGCATAGGCTACAAGGAAAAAGGACTCTTGGAAAAAAAATGGCATGTTGGAAGAAAAAACACCTGTTCTGTGACAGGCAAGCTATTAAAGGATTGAAGGATAGGGTCACATTTCTTCAAGTCTGTCTTAAATCAACACTCACATACCTATATGTACACTGATTTGGTCACTGTGGTCATTTCTCCTGTTCATACTGGCCATGAAGAGATTCCCCATCTTAACGCGATTCCAATGGAAGTATTGGAGGTTGAAAGGTGCAGTCCTTGCTGTAGCTGACACAGATGTGTGACAGTTTAAAGGAAAAATCGACATAAACCTCCCAGTCTCTGGAACCCTCTCCATTCTCCCATAGGTGTTTAAATTATTCACATAATTTTCATTCTCATCAAACCATTTAGTGAACCCCTAATGTCCTGTATGAAAGCATCTGTCTGCAACCGCCTGTGCATTCAGAAGTGTATTTGAAGTTAATATGAGGCTTCAGCAGAATGCGCCGGTGATAAATTCCCTCTTTGCGTTACTATCCCTTCGCCACCACTGTCCAGGGAAACACAGGAAAGAGGAATTTTTGTCAAGCTGCCAAAGCCTCATATTAGCTTTGAGTTCAGAATGGTATTTTTGCAGTGACAGCCAGTATGCAGAGAAGGAACGAAACTGCTTCTATGAAAATACGGACAGATCAGTATTAGTTTAAAACTTACTTGAAAAATGTTAACCTATCCTTAAAGCAACCTTTATGGCACCCTGGCAGCTCCCCTGGCAGAGCTAGTGCTCCATGTAGTCCTTGGTGCAGTGGCCCAGGGTTTGACTCAGACATGTGGCCCTTTGCTGCGTGTCATCCCCCCTCTCTCTCCCCCCTTTCCTGTCACTCTTCAGCTCTCACTATCTAGTAATGGAGATAAAAAATGTTTTATAGAGATTACCATTCCCAAGACTGAATTACCAACTGAGCAAAGTGCCTAGGGGCCTCAGGGGCCCTGAAGGCACCAGATTCAGGTGGTAATTATCTGACTAATTTAACATTGTATGAGATATGCACCACTAAAGTTCAATATAAGTGGATATGATGAATCATAGTAGTTCTTGCATTTAATGCAAAATCTAGTTGAATCCAGTTTATTTAAGTTTATATTGTGCTCACCTGGTTCATACTGATAAAAAATAACACAGCAATCCTCAGCAGGGTAGTACCAGTAGCAGTTGTAGTAGTAGTACTCTAGCTACAGGACAGAGTGTGCTGGTTGGTTGCAGCACATCCATGCACTGTACTGATGAGTAATGCAACAGGGTACACAGAGTGCACAGTGCAAAGTCAGTGAGGAGTAAAAAAATCTCTCTGTGTCTTTGTCTAAAAACAAAGTATTCCTCTTGACTTCCAGGGAATGGAACAAGTCTGGTCTTGTCAAGTATACAATCTTCTTCTCCTAGTTTATCCACATTCTGCACTTTCCACTCTTTCTCACATTTTTTCTGAAGTTCTTTAACTTCTCACCATTAATATTTACTCATATATCATATCATTACTGTAATGCTACTTCTGTCCGCTGTGTAAATATTGCTGCATGTTGGGCAATCCTGTATTAACCCTTTATTTCTGATTCAAACTGAGGCTCTAAGAATAGAGTGTACATGTTGTTCAGATAAGTGCTCTGAAACAAATGCGTGACTGACTTTAAACCTGAGATCCAACCAAGATCCAACCAACCAGCCCTTGTCAGAGGGCCTCCAGTAAGTGAGCTACTGTTCTGTAGGTAGAGGTCTATCCATGTTACTGTCCATGAATTCCTACAGGGAATGCTGCCCCTAGAAGGCCAAGAAACCATTTACACCCAGAATGACTCCCCTTATTGGACTGAGTGACTTCAGGTGAGTTCAAGTGTTCTTGACTGAGTTCTCAGCTTCTTCATAGATCACTGACAGTGTGTAT